GCTTCATACTGACATGTCACCCTCCCTGGATCAGGCCAACAGATGCTTCATACTGACATACTGTCACCCTCCCTGGATCAGGCCAACAGATACTTCATACTGACATGTGACCCTCCCTGGATCAGGCCAACAGATGCTTCATACTGACATACTGTCACCCTCCCTGTATCAGGCCAACAGATGCTTCATACTGACATGTCACCCTCCCTGTATCAGGCCAACAGATGCTTCATACTGACATGTCACCCTCCCTGTATCAGGTCAACAATTACTTCATACTGACATGTCACCCTCCCTGGATCAGGCCAACAGATACTTCATACTGAGGTACTGTCGACCTCCCTAGTTCTGACCTACAGATGCTACATACTGACATACTGTCACCCTCCCTGGATCAAGCCAACAGATGCTACATACTGACATGTGACCCTCCCTGGATCAGGCCAACAGATACTTCATACTGACATGTCACCCTCCCTGGATCAGGCCATCAGATACTTCATAATGACATGTCACCCTCCCTCGATCAGGCCAACAGATGCTTCATACAGACATGTCACCCTACCTGTATCAGACCAACAGATGCTTCATACTGACATGTGACCCTCCCTGTATCAGGCCAACAGATGCTTCATACTGACATGTCACCATCCCTGTATCAGGCCAACAGATGCTTCATACTGACATGTGACCCTCCTTGTATCAGGCCAACAGATGCTACATACTGACATGTGACCCTCCCTGGATCAGGCCAACAGATGCTTCATACTGACATGTCACCCTCCCTGTATCAGGCCAACAGATGCTTCATACTGACATGTCACCCTCCCTGTATCAGGCCAACAGATGCTTCATACTGACATGTCACCTCCCCGGATCAGGCCAACAGATGCTGCAGCATCATTCTTGAGAAATATGGTTATCATGACATTGCAGTTAACAAACTCACAAAACACAAATGTTTTCAAAACAGTTTTACTCACAGCATGACACAGCATTACCAGGTTAAGTTGCAAGTTCATATGTCCATGTATTGAATCTGTAGTATCAACCCCCAAGATAGGACACTCATTACTCTGCCTAAAGATTTCAAGAAGATGAAGAATATGATAAAGAAAATGACAGTGACGAATAAGACGAGGAAAATAGATAGTGAAGAATAAGACAAAGAAAAATGACAGTGGAGAATATGACAAAGAAAACTGATAGTGAAGAATAAGACAAAGAAAACAGATAGTGAAGAATAAGATGAGGAAAACAGATAGTGAAGAATAAGACAAAGAAAAATGACAGTGAAGAATAAGACAAAGAAAACTGATAGTGAAGAATAAGACAAAGAAAACAGATAGGGAAGAATAAGACAAAGAAAACAGATAGTGAAGAATAAGACGAGGAAAACAGATAGTGAAGAATAAGACAAAGAAAAATGACAGTGAAGAATAAGACAAAGAAAACTGATAGTGAAGAATAAGACAAAGAAAACAGATAGGGAAGAATAAGGTCAAGTATAAGACAACGAAGAATAAGACGAAGAAAATTGAAAGGAAAGAATAAGATCAGGAATAACACAATGAAGAATAAGATCAAGAATAAGACTATATGAATACAATCTTCATCAAAATGAGCAAACTCTTTAACGACTCAGCTACCTCTCCACCACTTCGTAGTCTTATGACTGAGTGAGTGAATTTTAGAATGTCTACTAACATGAGTGAGTGAGTGAGTTGGGTTTAACGCTGCTTTTAACAGTATTCCAGTTATATCACGGCGTGTCAGCTTAACGTGGGAAGAAAGCCCAAAGTGATACAGGTCTCAGACATTTACCACTTCGATAAAACCCATGACCACAGGTATGGTGCTGACAAACCTAGAAACATAATCGGGGCGAACTGGGATTCAAACCCACAATCATAGGTTTCTGGCGTGCCCAAGGGATGCAACTCTGCACAGCAAATTGCGGCGCCTTATACGACTGGGCCTTCCGTGCCCCCATGTCTACTTACAGAAAAAAGTAACTGTACTTCATATAGAGTTCAATAAATGCACATTTATTCTGAAACTAAATGATGCATCTTTCAATACATATTCATGAAGACTTGGTCTTGATTCACAATTTGCATGTGCATGTTAATAAACCGTACACAATTTGGATGTTTGCCTGTTTGTTGGGAGCAAGATACTCATAACCATGTTTTCTTTAACTTAACACCACACGATGATTGTTCAGCTGTCAGGTGCTCATGAAAACACATTTGTTTTACAGTCAATAAAGCTTATGCAATGCAACGAGTTGCTGAAAATCAACATCCACCACCATGGGTATCCTGCCAACAGGAATGGTGCAAAATGAAGTTGCCGAATATTTTAATGTCATCAAACACAATATTATCTCTTTGGAGGCTTTATATACAGCCTGGCAACACTCATGACTTGCCACAGGCTGGTCATCAACGTGTGACATCACATCAACTAGACAACCAGATACAGTTGGTGCATCCATGGAATCGATACAAAACTGCAACATTAACAGCTCAGACAATTCCTGGGTTGAGACCAATCTGTGGCAAAACCTTACACAACCCGGCCCTGATGTCCAGGGATAGCCACAATACTGCTTCCACATCATCGTCAGACACGCCTAGCTTGATGTAGAGAGCATTGGAGGCCGGCACCATACTTGGAGATGAGTCCATGTTTCATCTAAACAGCTCTGATGGTCGGCATGGTTTAAAGGTGTCCAGGAGAACATTTTAGCAATGCTTGCGTTGCTCAACATCATCAGTGGAAGTGTAACGGTATGGGGTGGCATCACAACTAATAGGAGGACACATTGTTAATGTCGTACGCTACCGGGAAGACATCGTCAGAGATCATGTTTTACCCTTTGTGTAAATGCAGGGACGTAATGTCACGTTGCAGCAGAATAATGCCTGCCCACATGCTGCACATGTTGTAACAGACATTTTGAGAAAGTACAACATTGCTGCCATGGCCGGCTGTTTCTCCAGACCTATGCCCAATTTCTGGGATGAGATGGAACGACACCTAAGACAGGACCAGAGCAAGCCAGGAACACGAGCTCAGTTGGCCCAATCTTTGGTTGATATTTGGAACAATATTCCCCAAGCTGTTTTCAATAATCTTGAGTCTTCAATGCGCCACCGCTACCTTGCACGTATCAATGCAAATAGTGGTCAAACCCGATATTGACACTGTTCATTGAGTTGTTACACCACCCCTCTTTTAGCTTTTAGGGCAGGTGTCAATGAATATGTGATAAAACATTTATCAGACAAATGACAAAATATAATGTCATCATTTCCAATAACATGCACATATGTTTTTTATAAAGTTACTTTTTCAATTAACAGTATGTGGTACTGAACTATTTTCTCCATTTTATCATCTGATAGTCTGGGTTTTGTAGATTTCAGGAAACTCAGTAAAGTACTTGCTGTGTAACCACTGCAGGGGACCCACTTTGCCCCAGACTCACCATGATAGGATTGGGACCCATTCTGCCCTGGACCAAGATAGTCACGGGGGACCCATTCTTACCTGGAATCCAGACAACAGAAATTGTGCACTGGGTACCTATTCTTCCCCGCTCTAACAACAATTGGCATTGGGTACTGGGGACCTATTCATCCCTGCACTTACCGCAATAGCCATTGGGTACGAGGGGCCTATTCTTCCCCGCTGTAACCACAATAGCCATTGGGTACAAGGAATCTATTCTTCCCCGCTCTAACCACAATAGCCATCGGGTACTGGGGACCTATTCTTCCCTGCTCTAACAACAATAGCCATTTGGTACGAGGGACCTATTCTTCCCAGCTCTAAACTAACCACAGTAGCCGGGGGAGGGGGAGAGGGCTGGGGACCCTTTCTACCCCAGGTCCTCAAGAGAGTAATTGGGTAGTAGTGACACATTCAGCACCTTAATCCCCAGGGAGATGTAGAATGTCTAACTGATTTTAGCAACAACTGTCAATTGTCTGTGACAACACTAAAAAACATTCAGATATCTCTATCAAATGTATAAAACCACAATTTCTACCCAGAAATATCCTCATATTGATTTGATGAGATCTTCAGAAAGTCTTTGACTGATAACAATGTTTTATTCCTTTATTTAGACGTTGTTGTCAATGTTTGCTTTCTTTGCCAATGTTCATGAGCCTATTACGAAGTCATTATTCATGAATGCCATTCTTTCACTTCAAACAGACTGCCACACCTAATACCTACAATTAGATGAAGACAGAAGCCCCTCTAACTTGTTGTACAATAGACCCAAGAGAAGTATGAATTGCAATGTTCAGAAAATCCAGGCAAATGCACAGATACAATACTTTTCATGATCACACCATTTATTGAGCAAAAAGAAAATATCTGCCTCATTTCAAACATGGCTGAATTTTAAAATAATCATAAACATCCAAAATATCATAACAATTGATAAGAGTTTAAGGAACAAAATAATACAAAACCAATCAAGGTCCATTGCTTTTTGTGATTGTTGTAAAACTAATGAAGAGAATTGTGAATGATGTAACATAAAGTGTATTAGCTGCCTGAACATGTTGTCTTGGTGACTCTTAAAATGTTCTGTGCCTTAAGAAACCAAACATAATGATGAGTGAAAAGAGACTTAATCTGAACAACATTCCTGGCATGTCTAGTTTCCATGGTGACAAGAACCTGACTTTCTGCACTTTCTTCCCTCCACTGCCGGCTTTTCAACAAAAACTGCTCATGTAATGGCAGCCGCCAGAGCATAACCAGAACAGAGTCAAGTTCCCAACAGAACTACAACAGACAGCTGCATGGTAACTAAGACTGCTTGTTTCACAGAGAGTTTGGTCTTTTGGAAAAGGTTGCAGTCACTGTCTGGTCAATCACTGAGTATCAGGACCACACCAAACTCTTTTATCAATTGGTGGAATGTTTGGAACAGTTGAATCATAAGTCAAGATTGCTGAAGCAAAATGAGTTACGTTTGAGGGTAGAGAAGATCGTGCAGCTCTGACAACTTCTCACAGGTCATGCCACCTTTCGCTGCAAGGAGATTAAACAGGGATCTCTCTTCACTGAATTCATAGGCTGCTCCATCCACATTAATCTTGACCGTCTGCTTAGAGAGGTGGGGGAGGTCAATAGGCCATCGTAAGCCAACATGTTGGCGATGAAGCTAAAATATGACACACAAAACATCATAAGAAAAGCATTCGTCAATTGCATCCATAGTCAGATAGATCAAGTTAAACATGCATGTCAATTACAATCTCAGGAAAGTCAGATCTTAGTGCTAGCTGCCGCAAAACCAAGAGCAGAGGACATCCCATTTCGGGTCATGTCAGAACAGTTGCAAGGGACCTATTCTAGCCTGGAGTCCCATCTCTAGGAAGAATAAATACCTTAAACAATGCCCCAGTCTCACAGTGCCACACGATGCCCTCAACTAGACCCTCATCACTTTCCATCAACCATTGAGTAAGATTATCGCGGGTCGGAGGTCGAGGACAGTTCAAGGTCATGCTTCCATGGACAACCAGGAGATGCAATGGCTTCTGCCTGTTACCAATCTCTGAAAGAGATGACAATTTGATAGGAATAAGATCAATAGTTATCCACCAATGTTAAACATTCAGGGTAATACTATTATATACATACAGAGTATTTGAAGTTGATAAAAACTCATTGTCATAATCCTAATGTTGAAAGAATTAGGAGGACCTAAGAGACACTTTGTCAATTGATCATGTGTTGATAGGCTGGTTTGTTAAAGACGCAAAGCTATGTAACACTTCAGGCATATGAGTGAGTATGGTTTTACACCAATTTTAGCAATATTCCTGCAGTATCACAGAAGGGGAAACTGGAAATGGACTTTACACAATGAACCTTTGAGGGGAATCGAACCTAGGCCTTCGGTGTGACACTTTAACCAATAAGCTACCCCACCACCCTTGGCATAGCAAGGAATAGGGTATACAATATCTTGTGTCATTTTGTTTGTTTGTTTGTTTGTTTGTTTGTTTGTTGTCGTTTAACACCGCACTCAGTAATATTCCAGCTTTGTGATGGCTGTCTGTAAATAATTAAGTCTGGAACAGACAATCCAGTGATTGATATCATGAAGATCAATCTACGCTTTTCGGATATGATGACATGCATGAACCAAATCAGCAAGCCAAACCACCCAATCCCATCAGTCGCCTTTTACGACAAACATAATCGCCTTTTACGGCAAGCATTGGTTGTTGAAGACCTATTCTATCCCGGATCTTCACGAGTCTCCTATATAATGGTCGAATTATTGATGGCTTACTGTAAGGGTTTCCATTGATGTTTGTTCCAATGAGCTCCACAGTGTTGCCAAGGAGCTCTATCAGAGCCACACAGTCAATACAGAGGCCCTCTGCAGTTTGTCTGAAATAAATTACAACACAACAGAATAAAACAGGTTTTTGTTTGTTTGATTGTTCTTTAACTCTCCTTTTAGCTGTATGACAACAGCCTGTAAAATAATCAAATCCTCAAGATCATTTGGGGTGTCGGCAACTGTGCCGGTTGTGTCGGATCTCTCACATTCAGCCGACTTAACCAGATCCTCGAACAAGCAATCGTCCACTGATCCATCCATTACGTTCGCAATCCCACACTTCGAGAAACTTGAACAAGCAATCGTCCTCTGATCCATCCATTGCGTTCGCAATCCCACACTTCAAGAAACTTTGCTTTACCATGTCAGCTGGTATTTCCATCCAAGCTGCCTTCACCCATTCAGCAATAACTGGTAGTGGTGCCTTCCTTTGTTTGCTTGTTTTGGTGTAGGTGTGATCACCATTGACCATCCAGGTGTTCCACTCCCTCCTCATGCTGGCCTTGAAGGGTTTGTTGAGGCAGACGTCAAGTGGCTGCCACAGGGAGGTGCAGCCACCAGGGATCAAAGCCGGCCGTATTTTACTCTCCGCCAACTTCTTCACGGAAGTTGTGAGAGAACTTGGGAACTTGTCTTTCGGCATCGTTTTCCGCTTGAATATCAGCATCCGTTGCTTCTCTCCTCCACACGTTCGTACTGACACCCATTGAAGTCCAGCATCAATCCACACAATTGTGATACGATTATATGTATTCAACCAAGCCACTGCGATGATCCACAATCCATGATTTATGAGCAATAATCCATGCTGTCTGGGTACATGACATGCAATCAACCAAGCCCGACTACTTGCTCCTCAAGCATGTATCGTACAACAAGCATAGTTTGCTGGGGCCAATTCTAGCCCAGATCCCCCATCGGTGGTTAACACTTGTGATCAAATTCTCACTCAATACTTCACTGCATCGCATGCCAATGTGCGTGCATCTTTATCAATGTTACAGATTGTAAATGTCCAGCCCAACCTTGACAGAATACTGGCATTGTAAAGAGTGAGTGAATATTGCTTCATGACGTAGTCAGCGATATTACAGCTACTTCACTGCGGCCTTAAATAATTGTTTAAGGGCATGGAGGCATCCAACAAATGACATTCATACCATGTCAGCTCTTTGTCATGTGGACAAGGAATCCAACCTTGGATCAGGTCAGTGGTTCAAATCCCATCATGAAACTCGGAACTTTCCTGACTGCTACATAATCTGGTCTTGATATTGCAAATGTGTACTGGAAAGCATGAACAATGCCATTAAGGCACAATGACAATCAGCCAAGTCACCAAGGCTGACCATCAGGTGATCTCTTATGACTCTTATTTTCTCACCAAAACACATGAATAAACAATAACATTCAGACTAACACCTAACAGTGAACAAACAGCCTCAGACATAAATATGGCTTAATAAATATGGCATCATTGTGACCCGGGGGTGAAAACATATTTCACAAGTCACTTATTTCCAGATTTCCAAGCAGAGATTGATCTCACCTCAGTACAAGCCCCAGTCCCTTGGTCAGGTCTACAGAGGACAGGTGCCATAGGTGTTGTCGCTGGTTGGGGTCCACGGGCACCCAACCTGAAGGACAAACACCACATCAGAGCTCCAGATAACTTTTTGAGCAATTTAGTTTTTACTCTAGGGTTTCTATCTTAATTGGGTAATAAAAATTTTCATTGAGTAACCCATATTTATTCACTGATCTATTCATCACTCTATTTGGGTTTTCTCAAAATTAGTGAACATTTTAAGATCTTAAAAAAATGAATTAATGTTTTAGATGTATATAACTGTTCCAAATATATAGGCTTGACTCAGAGAGTAAATTAGCTCGTAATTGTGTTTTGGAAATTAGCTCCTTTGTATGCATGCTGAAAAAGCTTCATTGGGAATTTACGCATGCTGTTTTTATACATTTGAGTTTTTCATTTAATGCATTCGTTTCTGTACGTAAGTAAATTGCATGCATGCGTGGGGAAAAGGGGTATTCCAAAAATAATCTCTTCCCGAATACATCTTGTCCTTGGGTTATCCACAAAAGTAAATAGTTCCCTTTTTTCTAAAAAGTGTCTGGCTTCTTTCAGGATGTCTGCCTACACGATTTAATTCTGTCTCACTGAAGTGCCCATAACCAATTTGTATTGTATAAATTTTTGTTTGTCACTACCTGTGACCCCTTTTTGGTATATTCTAAAAGTGAGTGAGTGAGTGAATTGGGCTTAACACCACTTCGAACAGTATTACAGTACTATCACAGCGTGTCAGCTTGATGTGGGATAAAAGCCCAAAGTGATGCAGTCTTAGACGTTTAACACTTTGGTGAAACCCACGAGCACGGGTATGGTGCTGACATTCATGAAAACATAATCAAGGTGAATCAGGATTCGAACCCACAGTCACAGTTTGCAGCGCCTCAGATGACGGGGTCACCCATGACCCATGTTCTAAGATAGCAGGCCTATTGGCCCATGTGCATGTACGTGTTCCAAGAGAGCACAGTTTCCAATGGAAATAAACCTACTGTGTTTTGAAATTTGAGGTTGTCTAACTGTAGATTAGATCGAAATTCCAATTAGTGAGTGAGTGATTGAGTGGGTGAGACCAAGACGTTTACCACTTTGGTGAAACCCAAGCACATGGGTATGGTGTTGACAAACCCAGAAGTGGGTGACCGTGTTTGGCAGCATGACACCTGAGAGTTTTCTAGGACTTTGGTCCTGCCTACACTGGAGCACCTGGAGCACATGGAGCACATGTGGTGTCTCCTTAGGAAAGTGACCTTGTTCGAAATGTACCTCTGTTTACCCGACAGTGAATGGGTACCAAGTAGGATGAGATGGTAATGTGTCTGTTAACCTTCTAGCGCCTCACAGCTTGGGATTTATTGACCAGTGTAATAATATAGCACGTTGAGAGTGCTTTTGGATGTGGATTTGGCACATTATAAATATACAAATAATAATTTATTTTTGTTCTTTCATTTTTTTTAGTTGTAGTAGTAGAAGTAGTAGTAGTAGTAGTACCTGGGATATGTCCATGCTCATCAGGTTGAGGGACACCAAATTCAACTGACACTTCCAATGCTGGAATCCATTGACTGGGGACTTCCTGTAAAGAGAAACAAAACATTGTCCACAACTGTGAGTGAGTGAGTGAGTGAGTGAGTGAGTGAGTGAGTGAGTGAGTGAGTGAGTGAGTGAGTGAGTGAGTGAGTGAGTGAGTGAGTGAGTGAGTGAGTGAGTGAGTGAGTGAGTGAGTGAGTGAGTGAGTGAGTGAGTGAGTGAGTGAGTGAGTGAGTGAGTGAGTGAGTGAGTGAGTGAGTGAGTGAGTGAGTGAGTGAGTGAGTGAGTGAGTGAGTGAGTGAGTGAGTGAGTGAGTGAGTGAGTGAGTGAGTGAGTGAGTGAGTGAGTGAGTGAGTGAGTGAGTGAGTGAGTGAGTGAGTGAGTGAGTGAGTGAGTGAGTGAGTGAGTGAGTGAGTGAGTGAGTGAGTGAGTGAGTGAGTGAGTGAGTGAGTGAGTGAGTGAGTGAGCGAGCGAGCGAGCTGCGGTTACTACAATATTCAAAGTTTGTGTAGCAATAAATTTTGTGCAGAAAACACAATAGAAATCTACAAAAAGAATGTATTTTAAGTATTGGGAACAACAGAGAGCTTGGAATTTGGCGCTGTTCTATTTACGACTGTACATATCTTTTGCATCACAACGAGCAATATGACGTCATAATGGTGACGTGCGTTGTAGAACTGAATCTTTGCAAAGCTTGCTTAGTTCTGTTTATGGGTACCCACCTCATGTTAGCTTGCCCATTTGCCGTGCTTATATGCCTTCAAAGCCTGTCATATGTTTAAGTGAAGTATTACGGTGTAAACAAACTGATTGAGCATACAGCGCCATATTTTGTTTCAAGTCTGTCATCAGTGATTCGGTAATTCACATCGACAAGCCACACAAAACACTGGACTCAACCCATGCCGCTTCACTCAATATATTTGCTGACACCAAAGAGTTATTCAGTCATGGTAGAATGAAGATAAACATATCGTGTTTGGTTCCAAGTGGTTAAATCTACAGGTAACCTAGCTCTATACAGAAAACACACTATGTAAACTTAACTGGTGACAGTATCTGTTTAAGATGTAAATAGATAGTAATTGCAAATCTTGTGTACAAAGTCGTGTTTGCATCGCCTATGTTGAATACATAATTAATAAAAATGTTTTATATCATGATTTTTCAATTAATACAATCACAGGGGTTACACTTATTGCTGGGGTATTTTGTAACCCTGTTGCATTTGTATGAACATAAGTGATATTGTACCAAAAGGAAATATTTACATTTTTATTTAATGTACCTGTCTATTACAACTGAATACCCATCTCCACACAATGAAGCCCCTGCAAACATATGTCCTACTTCACATGAAACCTGTGGACCCATGAAGATCCGGGGTAGAATAGGTCTTCAGCAACCCATGAGTAGTAGAAGTAATGACAGTTCTACCGCAACTGCACTGGAGCCAGATTTATACCCAATACTGCTACTACAGAGAGAATTGCAAAAATGATGATGCGATTCAATGATCGTCATGAGACTAAACTAAATTGTAATTAAAATATTCTCTATTATTTTTACTCATACGCATACGATTATTTTGAACAAAGTGATATTCAACATTTTTACTGAGTTCTTCATTCATTCTACTAGGAGACCAGACTATATACTATTTTTCGAAATTGGATAGAAACAATTGATGACAGTATTTGTTTGGTTTGACACCACTGATATAATATATACCCGGTACCCTGTGGTAATTCTCGCAATTTGATTGGCTTGTAATTCTCCATTATTATATACTTATGTAAGCATTCGTTTAAACGTGATCAAACGATAGGAAACAATCTATTTTTAATCTCCAACCAGTTCTTTGGTTTTGGCACGGAAGAATTGACGCACTTGTTGTCTCCCCTGTTCTATGAACTTTTTTTTCTCGTCTTCGCTAATACCATTGGTCTTACGAGAATTTGATCGAACCTCTTGCTTCATTGCGTTGTATTTGGTTAGTTCTGTCAACATTAAACGAAACTCATCCTCAGATATCTTACAATCAGCCAGGGCTGTTGAAATATGATCCTCAATGCTGTTCAACTATGCTTCGGCGAGTATCCGAATATTATCATGTTTTAATGCTTTCTTTTGTAACCTACGAGAAATACATTTTATCGCTATTCCTGCCAGTCCTGAGACTCCGGCTGCTACTTCCAAATCAAGTACGATAGGCGCGGCGATTATAGTTGATAATAAAGCAACACCGGCTACACCGAGTCCCATGCCAACAGTCACAAGCGCAGTGTCAACTCCGTCAAGAGCATTTACAGCTCTGCGATACTTTTTATACAATCCAAGTCTCAACTCCCTCTCCTTCTCTATTCGATGTTTTATGTCGCTTATTTGATGTAATCGAAATCCATCAACAGTATCCATATAAATAGGCCATATAAATAATACTGCAACGTTGACGCTCGTGTTTCTTGAGCCATTTAATTGATAGACCTGGTAATATTTTGAAGGCATCTTCTGGTGCATCTCCAAACAAGACTTCAATAATAATTGTAGAAAGATCAGGTATAGCATTCAAGTTCTGTTTTATATCATTGAATTCAGTAACCAAATTTAAACTAACATTTTTTAATGCTGGACGACTCAATAACATATGACCTGGGTTTTCTGGCAGGGGAGCGACTAACACACTTTTTCGTTTTGAGGGGATATATTATCTTAGTTAACTGATGTCCCTTACCCGTCATCACATATGGTGGAGCAATGACGATAATAGCTATAAATGTTTTCGGACATTCTCCTAAAGGAATTGTTGTACACAGGATAAGCTCTGCTCCAGGACATATTCCCAGAATCAATTCATTTCTGATCGAAAAAGATGGTAAATATCATTATACGTGGATAAAGAGTTTAAGCAGGCTATTATGCGATCAAACAAAACATGATGGAAAGAAATATTTCTGCGAAAGATGCCTGCATGGGTACAGCAGACAAGATCTATTAGAAGCACATAAAGTAGACTGCAGAGGTGTTGGACAGACTGCTATCAGGATCGACATGCCTAAAGAGTGAAAAAATATATTAAAATTTGAACATTATTGTAATCAAATGCCGGTACCGTACATAATTTACGCTGACTTCGAAGCACAAACCTATAGAAAATATCGAACACAATTCTGAATGTAGTTTTACATACAAAACTCAAGAACATATATCCCTTGTGGGTTGGATATATAGTTGTAACACAAATACCGATGGCGGCTTTAATAACGTGCATTCCTAATAGTATGGAAAAATATATATCATTCTCGTTGACTAAAACTATACATTATACGGACCAGGATGGGAAAGCTAGAACAAAGCAAAGTAATGGGCTTTGATTCATAGACTCCATACAGTTTCTGTTATCTTCCCTAGACAATTTAGCTAATGCGAACAATCCTGATGACTGAACAGATAACTCGTCATTTGTTGCTGAGAAAAGGTGTATATCCTTACAAATATATGAATGATTGGTCCAGATTTGACAAAACTAAATTACCACCCCTTGAATCATTCGATAGTAACTTATCATTCGATAGTAACAAGGCAAGAGAGTTAACTGACTATAAAGGTCCAGTTTTCCACCCTTGCCGAACTAGGCTGGTATTATGGAGTTGGATTTTGGCTGGACTAATGAGTCTGTGCATAGACCAATCCAAATCGTGCAATGATATCAAAATCCGGTTCACAAACTGTCATGCAGATTTCGGTCAGTTGCAGGATTAGCAAAGCATGTGCACCGCCAACTCGTTGTCAACAGATGTTTTCCAAATCTCGTCATGTTTTTAATCTAGGTGCTCACGTGATTTGATGCACTTCCGATGTAAGACCCGTTTTATCACAACATACATCTTGATTACTGATCAGATCGTCTTGACTGGGCGCCACAGTTTTGTTTGAAGCAAATGCAAGTGATACGAGAGGTGAAATCTGACTGGTCCATAGGAGAGGCATAAAAGGGACATAACTCGTAATAGCCACTGGTGGCGCTACGATCAAGCCTAGGAATTCCAGCCTAGTTCGGCAAGGGTGGAAACTGGACTTTTAAAGTCAGTTAACTCTCTTAACTGACTCGGGAAGATGCATGTATCTGTATGTAGTAGTGATAAAAAAATCATTTGCACCGACAGAGGCAGTCAAATTCTCATAAACCTTGAGAGCAGTCCTATTCCACAGGGCTGCAAATGATCATTATTTTACTCTCTCCTTAATGATGGTTGTTTTTTCAAAACCAATACATATTGCTCAGGCCTGTAACTCTAATATTCTTTATTTGGCACTTGACAACAACAACCAGTTACCTTGAAGTCTATCTCGATGTCCCAGGCAATGGTGGGCCTGTCTCCGATCTCCCCATCTTCGCACCAGGCCTTTTTTTCCGATAAATACTTCTTCAGCTTTCTGTCCCCCGGTTTACTCAGCTTCCGGTCATGTCGAGCCCACAACCAGGGCTTACCTTAAACCATATCAATACACACAATTTCATATCATAAGTTGTAAACTATACACACAGTAACACAAGTAACACAAGCAACAGACCTGTAAACAAACAGATCCTCACTGATCTTGGCGATACTATTTCTGCCGGGGGGTTTTCAGGTGTAAAAGGTTATATTGACTCAAATAGGGTGAAAATTAGATTCCAAGTAGTGTATATTCTCAAAATTTAAACCAGAGTATCACAGGTACAGAAGCTCACCTTTATTCAGTCATAACTAGTTATCTTACCTACATGTTAGAATGTTGAGATCTGATTTCACTTAATGTTAAGCACATACTATATATCCCGCCTGGGAGGGTAATACATTTATGAGCAGGACAAAGAATCCCTTATACCCCACCAGAAAGAAAACAGGCTGCATATGGATTTCTGAGCAGGACCATAAGTCTCTTGCACTACTGATAGAAAGCTAAAAGCTTCACGTTTGTATGAGTCAAAGAAAGTCACGTGACCTCAGATCAATAGAACAGTTGTGTCGCTACCCATAAATGAATGTGCATTTCAATTTGTCTTAATTCTTTTACCATGGCAGATTGAAACATGTCGGCAAGATAAATGTGTTGCAGTAGTATCACTTGGGGTATATGTGGTTTTATGTGTCCTTTGTTAGGTTTTACACCACTCGCCTCCGGTTCATGGTCATCTTCCCCAGGCAAGGGAGTTAGCCGACTGTAAAAGTCCAGTTTCCACCCTTGCCGAACTAGGCTGGAATTTCATGGCTCAATTGCAGCGCCACCAGTGGCTAGTACGACTTATGTCCCTTCTAGGTACCTCCTACTGACGAATCAGTTTCTACCCCTAATATCACTTGCATTTGCACACCCAGTGGATGGTACACACGCTCTGCAAATCCTGCAATTGACTGAAATCTGTGCTGAAGTTTACGATTTTGATTGGACTATGCATAGACTCATTAGTCCATCCAAAATGTAACTTCATCATTCCAGCCTAGTTCGCTAAGGATGGAAACTGGACTTATTTAATCAGTTAACTCCAATACCTCAGGAAGATGGTTCGTGGTATAAAAGCCAATGATGGACACATAAACATGAGGAAACCACACATACCCCAAGTTCTCAGAGCATAGTGTGATACCCTTTCTTGAATGACCTAATATTTTGTTGTATACACTAACAAAAGAATAAGGACTATAACTCCTATTCCACAGTCCTATTTCTCTGAAATTTCTGATTACAGGCAAATTCACAAAAAAGGGCACACTGAACTATTTCTTTTCTTATTTAGAGTGATGCTCGATACTGATAGTAATAAGACAAACTTGGTAAAGAGTTTCTGTTTTTTCAAAGCAACTGCCATATCGTCTGAACATAATCAGATGTTCACTTAAGTACTCTCTGATCAGTTTCTGTTAAAGAAAGTATGAAACAGTCAATCCTGGGTTCGATTTAAGAAACTTGATTTATCTAGCACCCGGTGCATGTTGACATGAATTAAGTGTGATTTATTATCAGCAGCTGAACTTCTTGTGGGACCAGTAAAAAATGTCTTTTTGACTCTGGCTTTGTTCTTGTCATCATTTTCCTTAATAGAACCAAAAAAGATTAATTGTTAGTTTGTTTTTTAATGACGCACTCAGCAATATTCCAGCTATATGACCGCAGTCTGTAAATAACTGAGTCTGGACCAGACAATACAATGATTAACATCATCAGCATCAATCTACACAGTTGGGTTACGATGACATGCATGAACCAAGTCAGCAAGCCTGACCACCCGTTCCCGTTAGTTGCCTCTTATGACAAGCATAGTCGCTTTTTACAAGCAAGCATGGGTTGTTGAAGATCTGTTCTACCCCGGATCTTCACGGGTCGTTTAATCATGTAATAGCATTGTCTAGAGTAACGTGTATCTGGTTGTCTGTGCAAACATATCCAGTAATGAGATAACTCTGCATTGATAGTTTACACATATTGGGTGACCCATGAAGATCCGGGGTAGAATAGGTCTTTAGCAACCCATGCTTGCCGATGATGAAGCAACAACACCAAGACTTATAGTAAATAAAGCTGAGAGTTATTGAGTGTATTCAAAGATTGATGTTGTGTGGACAAGTAAGAGTTGATCAGACACAAAATTTGAAAATTTGATGTGCACTTGGTGCATGTTAATATTAGGTTGCATTTTTCAAACATAGGTTGTACTGGTGCATGTTTTATATAGCTAAATCGTGCCCTGCAAACAATGAAAACATCAATTTGTACAATATATTACTTCATCAGAAGGGCTGTGAGAGGAATTACACTGTCATTTCCCTAGGCAGTTGAGTGGGAGGAGGGGGATAGAAAAGGACTCAAGAAGGGCTGTTGAGGAAACCTGCAATACATAACAGATAGTGATGGAGAATAAACATATACCACCCCTGAATATAATTAGTGAGTGAGTATGTTTTTACACTGTTTTTAGCAATATTCCAGCAATATCACAGCGGGGAACTCCAGATATGGGCTTCACACATTGTACCCATGTCACGAATCAAACCCGGGTCTTCGGCATCACGAGCGAACGCTTTAACCACTCGGCTACCCGACCAACCCTGAATATAATTAACATGTGGTAGCTGGTAGCCATGGGCAAAAAAACAATAAACTACTGTGGGATTTACCCAGGATTCAAGACTGCGTACCCTTGGTTGGGAAATTATTCCTTCCAACTTGGGAATTCTACTGACATTTGCTGCAGACTGGGGGCTAATGTCGGCCTCGGAGCAGGTCCATATAAATCCCTGTTGGTACAACAGCATTTATCAATCAAAGACAAGAATTTCAAATATGTGAACAGAGAGGCTGAGACATTTGGCTGTGAAACTGTTACTGGTCAACCAAATCGGCTCTGGTTTCATGCTCACCTTCATACTCAGCAATATAGCAGCAAGTGCCATCAATCTTCTCCGAAACAATGGCAGTGTCCAGGATGTGCTGCTTCACTTCAACAAGGAGTTTGTCCGAGGCTACAACGAGAAAAGGTTGGTTCGGGCGCTTCCCAGAGGCCTTAGGTTCCACATTGATCTCGAACAGGCACTTCACCTTCTGCTGCACAGGATTTGTCCTTTGTTGTTCACTCATCTTCACCTCTCACACAATCCTTAAAAGAAAGGTTTGGAATTGGATCCATTTGATCTTTGTTTGTTTGATGTTTAACTCCACAATCAGCAATATTTCAGCTATATGACGGCGGTCTGTAAATAATCGAGTCTGGACCAGACAATCCGGTGATTGACATCATGAGCAACGATCCACGCAATGACAAGCATGAACCAAGTCAGCAAACCTGACCACCCAATCCCATGTCACCTCTTACAACAAGCATAGTCACCTTTTACGGCAAGCATGGGTTGCTGAAGACCTATTCTGCCCCCGATCTTCATGGGGTGATCCATTCGAAAAATGACTGAAAATGATTAGGTCAGGCTTTTTTATTTCTATTTTTACAGATGTCTTGGTGAAAAATCCTGGTCCATATATGGGGATAGATGGAGGGTAGTGTTTTTTATGGCGCACATGTAAGAAGGCATTGGGAAGATTGACAAAAATAGTGCTTTTCCAAATTTTCTTGTTCCACTTTTCAATCTTTTTTCATGTCAACTGATTTGGAAATCATTTTTTTTAAAGTATCACCTTATGTGCACTAGATATATAGTTACTGGAAAATTTAAAATTGAAATTTAGCAAACAAATCAAATGACAGACAAGAAGCATTTTATCTTGGAAGTTGTTGCAAATTCAATCTCATTAAAATCAGATCTTAGTTCTCACTACCACTAAACAAAAAGGTCCAAGGACATCCCATTTCAGATCATGTCAGAATGACCTTTCACGAACTTTGACCGACCAATGAGTGACTAAGAAGAAGTGGACAATAGCCAATCTGAAACCAGCTTTTTCAAGCTATACGGCACTAGTTTCAAACTGGCAACTTACACACCAGACTATGCTTTCAGGGATATTTCTTGCCGTAAAAGACGACTATGCTTGTCGTAAGACTCAGTTAGAGGCAACTAATGGGATCAGGTGGTCAGGCTCGCTGACTTGGTTGATGCATGTCATCGATCCCAATTGCATGGATTGATGCTCATGATGTCAATCACCGGATTGTCTGGTCCAGACTCGATCATTTACAGACCTCCGTCATATAGCTGGAATATTGCTGAGTCCGGCGTTAAACAACAAACAAACAAACCAACCAACATATATTGGGTACCTTCTGCAATCTGCTAAAATTGCCTTATTTGGTGACTGGTAGCCAATGCCAAGTACAAATTTACAAAATTTTGTATTAATTTTCTTAATTCTGTGACGAAATAAGGTTCCCCAAAGTTCCAACCTGTCTCAAGAAAATGGTTAAAAAGACACTTATAAAAGGGTAATAACACAGAACAGGTTTCCTTTACAGCTTCTGTTGGGATCCCATCATGTCCCAGTGATTTGCAAGTTTTCAAATGCTGTATAGCATTTATTATTTCCTATTCTGATATTTCCCCACTGACCAGTTCATCACAGTCTATGGTAGAATTGTTTTCTAGAAAATCTGCAACGTCTTCATCAAAGGAGTGATTTGGTTTTAAAAGTTCTCTGAGGTAGGCATCCAAGTCATCAGTAGTAATGGATGAGGATGCTAACTCACGTCTATAGCAATATTTATGAATTGTTTTCCAAAATAATTTACAATCCTAAATTTTTTCAGCATTTACACTTCTTCAGAGACAGACCTTTCACGATCAATCTTTTTTCATTTACAAGTTTCTTTAAAAAGGTTTTTGACGTTTAAATACTCACTACAAATGTTCACTATTGTTCGTAGTCCTAAACCTGTCTAGAAGGACATATGTTGTAGGTTTCAGTGTCTAGTATTCCCTATCAGTGAGTGAGTGAGTGAGTTGGGTTTAACGCTGCTTTTAACAGTATTCCAGTTATATCACGGCGTGTCAGCTTAATGTGGGAGGAAAGCCCGAAGTGATGCATGTCTCAGACGTTTACCACTTCGGTGAAACCCATGAGCACGGGTATGGTGCTGACAAACCTAGAAACATAATCGGGGCGAACCGGGATTCGAACCCAGAATTGTGGCACCTTAGACGACTGGGCCACCCGTGCCCCCTATTCCCTATCAAACCACTGTGGCTGGTGTTGGTGTAGCTTGTTTACTTTAGGTCGTCGTGCTTCACCACCACCGCTCTATCTGCCCACAGTACATGTGCATTCTCAAACACACTGTTGACAGTCATGGTCTGGGAACATATATTTAAAATCTGTGGTACTTTGGGGACAAGTTTCTATCGAAGGTTTTCACAAAACTTACATTTTTGAGTTTTGAAAAGGGCCCATTTACATTCCATATTATGAAGGATAATTTTATTTCCTGAATATATCTATATATATATATATATATATCTATCATCATGTTTGGATTTAGTAGTGGACCTGCACGTATCTTTACAATGGCCTTGACCACTTTCCTATCTGGATTGCCCTGTGCTACTGTTACGCTCGCCAGATTGTCTCTTGGGATGGCTGTATGTCCACCTTGTACAGTCCGTTTGACTCCAAATGAGAACGATGAATTGCAAAATAACTCGAAATCCAGAAAAGTGTATGAAACATCAATACGGTACTTGACCATGAATACCCTGTACCCAACAAAATCTGAATTTTGTTTAATTTAAGACCCATGACGGATGAAGTTCTTTAAGAAACTATCATGTAATTTTGTATAGAAATGTGTACATGACACGTAGGGGGGACAAACCGTGGAAGGCACAGCGCAAGCACGCATGCACTGCACGTTCTGTGTTAGGGGAAATGACAGAGCGTTAGAGGGGCCGTCTCATGATAATTTCAGTCGCAATCTGTAATTGCTTCTTTGTTGCCTAACGCCTCACGTCACCGACCAATCCCCCTGCCATACGACGCGGAGAGTGAACAATCGAGTCTGGACCAGTCAATCCAGTGATCAGTAAAAATAGGTAAGCCATCAACAATGATCCACATCGAAGGGGTACGACGCCACACTGTCAACCAAGTCACCAAGCCTGACAACCCGATGCTGAAAGTGAGCGCCAGTGAATAAGGAGGCGTGAAAAAGCGTTAGGTCATGGTATGGGATAACCAGCTGATTCCATAGCTCATTGACGAGGCAGGTAACACGCACGTGCCATATTTAGTACATACATCATCATCCATGCACTCAAATGTCGGCTAGTGGCGAAATAAATTATCTGTGTCGTTAGGTCTATGTATGTTACTTAGGATGGAATATATTTAGACCTACGTACATGAAAAGGGGGCCAGTGTCGTCCGTTCCTCAAATTAAAGAAAATCGGTTTCCGAGATACCTGTTTTCGTGGCATTCACTCCTCGCGGTCGAGTCAGTATACGTCCCTTTCCCAGACCAGGCCACAGCGCTACGTTTATCGAGAGGTATGCCTGTTGTACACGCGCGTGTACTTCAACTATACTGTATTTAAGCCCCCGCACGCCAAAACGAAATGCGCGGCTAATAATAGACAAATCCCAGTCAAATTATAACAATTCCATACATTTTCATTCGTGACCAACTCGTGTTATTCCGGGACAAGCCTTGCAGGTTACGGAAAGGGGCGAGTGGTGACGAATGATTGGACTGGACAACATATGCGTCAGACAGCTGTTTAGCAAAATATTGCAGCCAGTGAAGAGAGTACAAAAAATACACATATTTGGGTTGGGTCATGGACAAGTGGACATTGTATAAGAAAATACATTTTAAAGTGTTTTTACATTTTGTCTTTTCGCGGAGGGTCATGAAAAAAGTGTATAAGAAGATGGGGAGGGTCATCCAAAATTGTGACAAGCATAAGGGGAGCGTCAATATTATCGGTACATTAGTTGCACATGACCGGTCCCTTATCTTGTCGGTACATGACATACGGAGTCCTTACTTATTTTTGTGTCGCTCCTCTCCCGCCAAAAGAATCCATTATTTTTTATTTCTGAATTATCCGCCGTCCATCTCTTTTTGTATGCTGCTTCTTAAAAACGTTTTACACTCTTAACGTGTTTTTAACACCACGGTCGCATATATACATGGCAGTATGCGTTCTTAAAGTGACCGGTTGAAACTTGGAATGGAAGCAACTCTTTGCTTCTTATTTCTGTGGTGCGATGTAGGAATCGCTTCCACGATAGTTCATATAAAAAGCGGGGAGACGTTTCAGAAAACACGTGGCATGAAAACCTGTGATGATGGCAATCACACAGACGGGCCTCTCTAGCTGTTGTTTGTGTTTCAGGGTTGGTGCAACCTCGGTCGTCAAAGAAGGCACAACTTACTGCCATGTTTGAAAACCTCCTGACCTCTACCTTCGCGGATTCTCTCAGCGATTAGAGAGTTCAGTTTTGTACTCTTTGTAAGTGTTACCCAGGTCACATTCACTCAGAATGACTTAAAACTGAAAACAACAAAGAATTTGGGTCACGTTTGTTTTATGTTCGATAAAACATGGCTGACAAAGACGTCATGTAGATACATGTTTATACTTCAAGTTTTCAACTTGGTGTGGCGCAACGGATAAAATATCAACACTCATTAACTATACTAGGCATACAATAAAGTATTATAATACCCAACTAGTTCTTGGTTACTTATATTTTCAATGTCAACATTAGATGACAAGACCCATCAACACAACTTACAATGGAACTACAATGTAGTTGATAACATTAATATCAACTTTCAAGAAACCATAAAAGATAAATCCATGCATTCATGGTAACCATAACACCAGTAAGATGCTAAATTTCCATACTGTATTACAACATTGCATAAATATCAAATACTCTATAAAAGTGAACTATTTATATACTTGGCATATGTTATGTGTGAAAATAATACCTTAATGAATTATACTTCCAATAGTTTGTTATTACAAATGAAAACTAAGAAATTACAGATTATCTTATAAATGAGTATTGAGTCAAACTGCATTACATTGTGAAGTGTCGTAAAATCAGTGTGTAAACAAGACAACAAGAATTACCTCCCTTTAACTGAGACATGCTATGCTATGAAATGGGATGTGCTGTAACTTATTTTGGTTCAGCTCAGTTATAATGTTTTAATGCAGTAAAGTTATATTTACAATGATTATGCTATATGCTTGAAGTGTGTTCTTACAAAATATACAACGAAAGTATGCCAAACGATGTACATGAAAATGTGGGAGGTCACGTGACCTCAAATATGAACTATCAGCGAGGTGTGGACAAATATAGCTTTTTATCCTAACTTTTGCTTGAAAACATTGCCTGAGGAGTGTGTGTACATGTTTGACAGCGATACACATCATATATATTTGATGCAAAATTTAACTGAATGCACTTACAATGGGTGAAAGGTACTATATACAACATAAGCTTGACTCCGAACCATCACAGCCTGTTCAAGCTTCATCAACTTAAATGACTGGTTTACTTGCAATGAGCCAATTTGGTAACATTTACTGATCATATCTGTTTGTACGTATAATTTGTCACTTCATACTTATTACAAATATAAAGAAACCGTGAGGGCAGCCAAACTTACTTAGTTACCACTAGTAAAATATACACCAATGCGTACGATCTCCTGTCTCATAACATGAAGATTCAAGACATTTTGATTCAAATATCTTTTTGCAGAAACCTCAGTTTATTCAGTGCTTATAATATTCAATAGTTCTTGAATTTGCCTGACATACGTGAGACGATAGTTATCTTATATTCGTTTAGCTGTGAATTATCGAAAAGATGTTAGATATGCATGTAAATATTGTAGGAATTTATTGTATGAATGCTTGTAACATATGAAATCTGTTTCACTTAGGAAACATTCCGAAACAATACTTTGCATTTCTTTGTTGTTAAATTTAAACGTTGTTAAATCAGGGAGATCATGCAACACGACGGCGGTCTGTAATTAATTGAGTGATCCAGTGATTGATATTGTGAACAATGGAGGATCATCTGTACTTTTTCTGTTGTTGGTATGGGAGATAAAATAAATTACATATGTCTCGCATTCTAGGAAAAAAAAAAATGTGCCCTTTTCATGTAGACAACTGTCCAAATATACAATGTTATGTTTGTTTATTCAATAAAAATAATAATTGAGCAGCTGTTTATGTTGTAAAAATAATTGAGATCCTAAACATTAAAAATGCTGATCTTGATCAGCAGACCATTCGATCCATTTCGTCGCAGCTCACGACCAGCAAAGGTTGCTGGGGACCTATTCCAGTCGGGAATCCCCACGGGAGTCTCCTGGACTGCCTTCTGTGACTGATTGAAGCGCCTCATAAATATATTATTTTATCATATAATGGATAGGTTTCTCGGCAGGATAAAGCCAACGGATAAAAACGATATCCGTTGAGGTCATATGCGGATAGAGATGCAAATATCAAAGGTCAAGTAGGGACTACTTTCGCTGTTTATAAACAAACTTGGCGTCGCCCTCGTCATTCGGCGATGGAGTCAGAATTAACCACCGGGAATCTGGATAAACGACAGGGATAATTTCTATCATTATCAAAAGAACAGTCTAACATACTGAAAATCAGTGTCTAACTGTGACGTAGCTAAGGCATTTCATAAGTTGTGGCAACTTGGGAGATATAAATTTCGAAACGATTTTGCGAGGGCACTAGGCCTAGCCGAGCGGGATCAGTAGCCATATCTGTGCTTGAAGACCTCTGCGGCTTGAAACCTTCTCCACAAATTAAAAAAGTTGGATTTGGCCGAAATATGTTTGAATTGTTACCTTGTTTCGTTTTGTCGCTGTGTGTACATTTGACTACACTTCTTAACATTATGACAGGACAGACCGACTGTCAACAACGTATTCATGAACGTGGCCGTGACGTCTCATAGACTAGGGTTAGAGTAGCTTCCCTTTGACAAAGCGCAGTTACTCTAGCGGATAGACCAATGGATTGCCGCGAAAGACAATTAAAAACAATTGTTGTTTTGCGTATATGTTGCTTCAACACTGTATAAGAAACAGATTTCAGTTGGAACTATATTGGCTACTGTCACTGTCCGACTGACACATCACTCACCCTGTGACGTAATAAATATTAATGCGCGCATTCCAGGGCCCACTTGCACAAAGCGACCTTAGCGCTAAGATGATCGTAACTCCCATACTTTAACATAGGCTTCCAATAGTCTTAGCGCTAAGATTGCTTTGTGCAAGTGGACCCAGGAAGACACAATGTTTTTGTAATGTTTGTGAGAGAGGGAAAGCGATTTTGAAGCACAAAATTAAATAATGACATTATATGATAAAGAGGTTATCACGCTTGTGTGTTTGGAGATGGTAAATATCCTGTATTAGGAATAAACACCATGTATTTAGCTCGCCTAGGCTCGCTAAATACAATGTTTATTCCTAATGCAGGATATATACCATTGCGTGATAACCTCTATTTACATTATTGCAAAAGACAATATATTCCTCAAAGTTTTTGTTGTTGTTTTAAGTGTTTAAGAGGCCTCCTTCAGTCTTAGCAATTTCGGCTGACCTGTCCCCCTTTGGGACTTGTGTGTGAGTAGGGTACACATATGTATTGCGAGTGTAAGTATTCATAAACTTTCTCTTTTCGTGTTGATATGATTTCTATTTTCGTATATTGATATGACTTCATTTTTAATCTTTGGCTGGTGTGTTTATATATGTTCGAGTCCATCACTCGGAAAGTGAGTTAGTTTGGCCTCGCTATTGCATCTCTTGGCTACAGGAGATCTACAACAGATAGTGGATCTAACTGCAATTCTTGTTTTAACCGTGCCTGGGCATGGGCATGGTCTAGAGATTCCAGTAACAAGGGATCAATGGAATGAGGTTGATGGCAAGATGGGCATACCTTGCCATGGTGCTTGTGGTGAATTCCTCAAAGTAATATAGTACAGTACTTATAGTACATGTGAGATTATACTCAGGTTATGGAGAAGTTTAGTCTATCTAACAATGTATTTAATAAAAATAATGCAAAACAAACAGAACGGTTAAATGTTTTCATTATTCTTCAGTTTCCTATAGTCTATATAATTGAAAGAAATAATCCTAGTCTTGCCTAATAAAACTCCTGCAACCCAACACAGATCAAACGCAACTTACAAACACAATCAACAATCATAATCTGGTTAATCTGTGTCCACTTGACGAGTATGGAGCAGCTCAGTGATCAGAAGGTAAGACAAGGCAGTTACACTGGTCACACTTGACTGGTCTGTCTATGATTAGGTCATCTGACAATTGGGATGTCTGAAAACTGGGAGTGAACTCTTTACCAAAGACCAGGTAAACAGTTTTACTATTTAGTTTGGAACTCTGAGGCAATATATGATGCGTTTCTTGTTTAACGCCCCGCTCAGTAATATTCAAATACAACATATGATGTCGGTCTGTAAAAGAGGCTTCTTGTTGTGCATGTTTAGCTCATCAAATGACAAAACAAAATTAATATTTTCATGAGCCGCAATACATACACAAAATCGTCAAACTCTTTTCATGAGCAGCGCTACATACACAGAATGATCAAAGTGATCAACTTTTTCAGTTCACCAGATGAGATAGCTGTGTCATTTTAAAAGAACAGACAACTGTTCCATTTTTTGTATTTTCTTGCTGATCTCGTCACATCCATTAGGGGCAAACTGAAAGTAGTTCCGTCTGAAGTGGTGTTTCTTGCAGATAAATATAGAATTTCATTATTATGTACATATTAAACAATGTCATATTCATCAATAATAGCGTATTTACTATACATATACGTGTAGTTATCACAAGATAAAATGTTAATGGCGAGTCGTTATGATGACTGGGGTCCAATCTTGCAGCCTGGTTCCCTGGGTAGCTACATTGTGTACATTCTACTCGGGATCAGGCTGCCAATCTTGCCGAATCCTGGCTGCTCTGGCAGTTAATCGCTTTCATTTTCAGAAACTGGCAACTCAGGTCTGATTTAAACTGTTGTTTATTGTGTCACGCTTGATGACGTATGTACAAGAATTTACATCAAGGTATATGAACAATATCAATAAATACAGCTATACATATACATATAAACAAAAGGACAAATTGTACAACTGATTTTTTTTCATGTATGTACATATCACCACTGTACATTGCCTCCGAAGTTACAGAAAAGCTCATACTAGCTTTGTGAAAAGTAGGAATCAAACCAGAAATGAATGAGGATATGAACTGGTATTAATCAAACAATCACATACTCTTGTCAGCTCAACATGGAGGAAAGTCATGCAAGTCTTAAACCTTTACCAAGTTGGTGAATCCCACCTCAGGTACGATGTTAAACTAATAGGGATAACAATCAGAGTCAAATATGTTTTCAGAGAGTTATTATGAGAAAATATTTTAAGACACCTATAGTGAGATGATGAAAGTATAGTTTCAGTTTTAATACTCAAGCGGATTGAGAAAAGGAAGATGGTGAACTGTCACCAGGTCATTAAATCAGATTTACTGGTCTTACACTGAATTAGTAGAAAATATTTCAATATAGACCAATATATTGGTCATATATATATTTGAAGGATTCAATGAAATAATCACTTACTATGACATTTGTTCAAACTGGCAGACTGTATAGAAAATAAAGAGACAAACACACAAATATAAAAAATAAAAACAACTGGTGTCCAAATGGTGTTTTCGTAGGGGCATGCCACTATTATGTTTAAATGACAGTGTGTTACTCAGGTCAAAACCCTTTTTCCATTTTTTGGTACTAGTTTCCAAGAGACAAATTTAATATTTGGTGTTCTTTGGTATTGATATTTGTGACTAATAGTTCAGGTTTGAGAATTCTTGCAGATGTATTCTACAGTACAATTCAATAAATAGACACCAACATCATATAATGCCATTACTCTTGACTCGCATTTCACTCACTAAGTGATGACATAATCATACCGTAACCTGGATACATATTCTCTCAGCATCAGAGCAAAACACCATTTGAATCCTGTTATCTGAAGCCTGATCTTCATCACAGTGCATTATTTCAGGACATGAATCAACCAACTCAGTGGTCTCCAGGATAGTGTCTCTGTCCAAATGAGTGGACGGCTGGCGATTTGATCCCCATGTCATTACAAAAGATGCTAAAAGCTGGTATCTTTGTTACCGTGACTTGTGCTTGGCATCAAAAGGGTAAACAAGTACTGGCCAGCTCCGAGTCAGTAGACTGTGTTGGAGGAAGGTATCTATGTCCAAACTGTGGCATGGGTTCTCAATGGGCAAGTACATTAAACCAGCATTAGACTAGACAACAAGCAGCCCAAACACACCAATTGCATGCGCAACATTATGTGCATTAAAACCCCATTTCACCTCTCCTCTTAACATGTATCACACATTATTGGGATCATTGTTTGTTCTAGTGTCTGCTCTAACAAAACTGTATAAAACCATTTAAAACAGTCACCCATTTGATATTTGTTTCAACTCACGACATACAGTATTACTTTGATGTATAATGGCCATTTCAAATTATGTTCTTGAAAACAAGACATGAGAATAAGCCTTCAGGCTTATGAAAAATATACAAAAGATGCTATGATAAATTACAATAATAATGCAATTAATAGCATTTTGGTATGTACAAAGCCATCATTATTTGCATAGGAAAAATAATATTTGGACAGCAGCTTGCATATACAGGTTCTTTCAGTAAATAGAACCTGCCACATGAATTGCTTCATGATTATAAGATGAGAGACATAACTGGATACTCGATGTTCCTGTGCATCACATCTCCATTCTGTTATGACCACATACACTGGACACATTTTCCAGCAAACCTTCGCCTCGTCCAGGTTGGCAAGATAATTTATACGTCTGATCCATTGCATCAAGGGCTTGCTCGAATGGGACTGCAATTTTGAAATTAGACCAAATTTTGATTGGTTGTTGAATTCAATTTCCTGAGGAAGGAAATGTTGATGACAAGATGGAGATGAAGACATTACTCCTGAAATGAAGCTTTGGTGGCGCCTGGGTTCCAGGTATTCATCAAAATACAATAGTGATACTATACCCTTGATAATCAAGGAGCAAGATTTGAGCATTTCATGCTAGGTTCCATTCACAGAAAGAATAACCCCAAATATTCAGTGCTTTTGTCTACAATGCCCTGTAATTACCGGTTTTGCATCAGGAAGACATGTATACAAATGAATATATACACATATGGTTAGGTATACATATGTTTCTCTATGTACACATTGTATATACAATAGTATTGATGAGATGTAACATGAAGTGACGTATGAATATGCCTTATAGACTTCGTTACAACTAAAAGATCAAGTTTACAGATAACACATTCAAAAATCATCCAGAAATATCTAATGTCCCCTCAAACATTTTCTTTCAAACTAAAGCCAATAATATCTGGTCAACTATCCAACATTTAGCAAATAACAGATTTCTGTAAAATGTCATAAAAAGGTTCAATCTGAAACTGACTCTAAAAAATATTCATGAAGGTGTCTGATATGCCTTGCATTCTGTCATCCATTGCTTTAATTTAAAGACATATATAGGCACTGACTAAATAAAGATATAATTCAATGGATTTTGATAAAATTATTCATAAAACAACTAAAATTATTTAACAACTGCCAAATAAAATGTGGAATGGTTTTCAAAACCTTCTTTCCCTTAGGGGTCCTAAAACAAAATCAAGATTCTTACAGACATCTTTGCCTTAAACCAAATTAAAAGAAAGGTTAACAAAGTAAATAATTTGACTGCCAACAAAAAACAAGATTGAAATTTAACAGGTTGCACTAAAAACAGAATATATTTTAACACAGAATAAGACTGTTTAAGAGAGGAATATAATGTCAAACAACATTTGTTTTTATAAAATTTCAGAAATAACTGCCAGGCAAGTTTGAAAACATCATGGTAGTGAATAACGATGAGTTTGATTAATTGAAAGGATATGACAGTTCCATGATAAAACAAAATGTTAATGACTGGTAGACATCAGGTTTGCAACAAAACATGTTACTCCATCATCCTTAACAAGTTTCACAATGTGACAAGACTCCATGCATAGGAGTACCTACTGGACACACTGTGACATAGCACTTGATGTTTTTTACCACTAATCCTCAAGCTTCTTTTGGCGAGCTCTCTATCACCGTAGACTGTAACTGTGGAATTGATAATGCCGAGTCAATCAACGCCTCCAATTCATCTTCAATTTCTGGCTTCATTTCAAGATAGCTATCCCACGACAAATCAGGTTCAGACGTAGAAGTATTTGTCAAACTTTCTTCCACTTCTGTACTTGACTCATAGACGCCAGTCCTTATCGAACGTGATTCATGGAGATCAACGTCAACGTTTTTCAAACTGAAAATCTCTTCAAACTTATAGCACCCTTTGCTGCTGGGATCTTCATAATAATATGAGAGTGCTGACTCCATCTGGTTTGTAATATGTAGACACTGCTCAAATGTGTCAAATATTTCCTGACAGGGTGCGTTGGTTGCAGAGCAATGGTCGCTACCCCGAGGTAGGTATAGAAGATCGCCCGTGGGGCTGGACTGCTGTATTTGTACATCCTCCATTTGAAGCCTGTCCATGTGTCCATGAAGGTGTTCCAGTGACCGAACGGTGCTCGGCTTGGAAGTGTTGAAGTCAACAGCAAAGCCAATGTTGAAGTTGCGTACGATGGCACTATTGTTGGTTGCACTCTCAGGGTATTTCTTGCGTCGGTTGGCGGTGTTGCGAGTGCCAGGGGTGAAGGAGTGGCTTCTCCGAGTTGACAAACGACGGCGCCGTGGAGTCTGCTTCTGATCTTTTACTTCTGTGATGGCCAGCTGACAAGTAAACCTGAAAGTACAAATGATGTTGATATGATGTCTGTCCCATTAACACAACACACTATTCATACTTGCCCCAAATAGCATATAAATTTGAACCTCCAATAACAGTTCCGCACATCAAGCTTCAAGAACCAGGTCTGGGTTCAAATCTACATGGGTACAATATATAAGGTCCATTTCTGGTGTCCCCCGCTGAGACATTGCAGGAATAACATGGGTGTTATCATTATTAGGGAGCGTAAATATTTCAGTGTTGTTATGATGCTGTTGTGTGATACTGTTAGTAGTTCCAGTGGCGAGTAAGAGGATAGAAAAGGGCATATTTACCGAACACACAAGGAGAGGAAAAGGGTATGTATGCATATATCAAGATGGCCGCACCACACCGTGGGGGGTACACACCTAGCGGAATAGCGTGGGTGATGGTGGAACATCTTAATAGCAATGATCTTGAGCAGCTCCACAGTGTCGCCCACAACACTCTGCACATCCTGCGGCATCGACGGCAACCACTGCAGGAACCTGTAACACAACAACCAAATGTAAAGGCCCACTATCTGCTAATTCACATGATTTAATATTTCAGACATGTGTCACAAATACCCTCAAATGACAAAACACAACCTAGAAGTGTAAGGAGTTAATGCTTCGTCGAGGTTATTGCACTCATACACTGACATGCATGCATGTACGTACGTGTGTATGTGGCTGCATGTACTAGTCCGGACTAATGCGAGTTCCATAGTGCTGACCTACTGAGATGCCATGCCGCAGTTTAACATGAATACCCCACTTAGACACAGTATACTGAATCTTAAGCCGACCCATCCTTGTTTTAGCCGTTGAATGTCGAGTGCTAGGCAGGGTAACAACAAGTACTTTCTTTTGGTATGACACAAGGGACCAAACAAATGACCGTCCGCTTTCCAGGAAGACGCTCTCTCCAACAGACCACAGAGGCGGTCACAACAAGATGGCACACATCGTAAACATTCAATCCCAATCTTGTTGGCTCTTTTGTCATAATATTGCCGAAATGTGCTGCATTAGTGTACGAAATTAAGGGTGGTCCTAGGATCCTTGAGGACCCCCTACATATAACATCAGGACCCCTTTAACACTGCTAAATATTAACTCAGGTATCTTTATGACAAGGATAACACAGTGGGAACCTGTTTTCACTGAAAAACATGTAGGCCAAAGTAATGTGACTGCAGGCTAAAACACAAGTGTAGAACATTGTGAGTGTCTACAACTGACTTCCTATTTTTACTTACTTGACCACAGTTCGGACCGCCATCTCTGCAGGCAGCACCCAGGGGGTGGCGGCTAGGGAGAGGAGTTTGACCGGCCTGGAGTTATAGAAGTAGTTCACAAGCCCCTTGTTCACAGAGTCACATGCATGCTGGAATGCTGGAACAGTAAGAAAACATTCAAAAGGGTATAACATGATGTATAAATCCTGCAAAATTGCACTCAACTACTACTACTACTATTTTCATACTTGACACAAATCTGCAACATACTCCTCCCTACAAGCACAGGTTTTTTATGATAAAATCAATTAGGTTAGTGAAGTTATTTTTGTCATCACTATGGTGTAGACTTAAAGTTAACCTCATACATGACTCTCAACATAAATGCACAATATGATTGATGAAAATAGAAACTTTTCATGACAAGTAGTCAGAAGATAGTATTTTTCCAAACTATTTTTGTAAAATGTTGTTCTTTTATACAAAAGTATCATTGAGTGATCTCAGAATAGGATAATTGTATCTCAGCACTATGTACCACGATGCAGTGAAACACTGTTTTCCTCCTTCCCTGAAATGGAGAAGTATTGAAGAACCCTTTTAAGCCTAAGCATTTGTATCTCCTTATCAGTCGATTTCCAATGACAACAACTCACCCAGCATTACGGTTGGTGGCAGCGAATCAACCAGGGCCCCATGCAGTTTCTTCTTACACTCTTCGCAGTCATTGTCTTCACCGTCGCATTCAAAGTCTTCTTCATCCTCCTCGCTCTCTTCCGTCTCTGAGTCCTCCTCCGCGTCTGTTGTTGAGATACATGACCGCACGCTAAGGTGACGTGTGCATGATATCAGATCTGAAACAGTCCCAGCTTTCTTTGAAAACTTGTAAAACCATAAGTATCACAATACAGTTCCATGCATGAGTTGGTTCTTCTGTTTTGAAGTGTTGTTAAAATGTGGTTTAATGTCGTGTTCAAGACAATTGCACTTGTATAGCGATGTGCATGTGTCTACTTGTAATAGTCCAAACTAATGCTGGTCAGCCCACTGAGATACCAAGCCGCATGAACATAAATTCCCCATCAAATACTTTATACAGTCTCCGAGCCAACCAGTCCTTGTTTTATCCCCTTAATACCAAGTGCCAGGCAGGGTAACAAGTACCTTCTTTTAACATATTTTTGATGGAATCACTGACCTACAGGCAGACACTCCATCCCCAACAAACAACTTGAACACAACATTCATACATCGAGGAAAACCCTAAATCTGTAAGACATTTTTTTTGTGTGTGTGTTATCAGTTCCAATGCAGATTACTTACTGTTAGTCTGAAGGAAGACGAGTGTGTCATCAAAGCCCTGCCTACACATATCACTGAGCACTTCAGGGTGCGGGGGAAACAAGGCGTGGGAGAGGCGATACAGGTTCTCTGTGGTGCACTGCATGCTGGTATTGACGAGGGTGATGTGGAGAAAGTTAGACGAGCCATCGCTGGGGCAGATGTCACTCTCGCCTGAGAACGGTGACACAGTGATTGTGTCTTCATCCAGAATGGGCAGATTGTCACTAAGTCCTCCATCAACATAGCGCTGACAACCAAAACATCACAACATTGTATTAGACAAGTTGAACTGGATAACATAAACTTAGAACTATTTGGTTTTCCAGTTATTGAAAGCAAACAATATTTACAAATTTCACAAAAGCTATCTGACTATTAGTATAAGTGACAACAGAGTACATACCACTCCTCGGAACTTGGGAGGTATTAAGCCACTATAGAATGGCACAAAAGCACTGCATAACAAAGCCTGTAAAAGAGAATTTTGCTTATAAGACAAATTGAAGAAAGATGTAACTAGACTTGAAGCATTATTACACATCAATACATAGACATTAAGATTGACAGCATAGATCATAGCTGTATATCAGAAGGTAACAAGTTCATTTGGGGCTGGCTTTCGATATAGATCATCGAGATCAATAATCGCTAACTATATATTGATCAATTATTGATAAATATCAGAAAAATAGTGAGTGAGTGAGGTTTAACGCAGCTTTAAACAGTATTCCAGTTATAATGCGGCGTGTCAGCTTAATGTGGGAGGAAAGCCTGAAGTGATGCATGTCTCAGACGTTTACAACTTTGGTGACACCCACGAGCATGGGTATGGTGCTGACAATCCTAGAAACATAAGTGGGCGAACCGGGATTCGAACCTACAATCATAGGTTTCTGGCGTGCCAAGGGTACACAACTCTGCATAGCGCCTCAGACGACTGGGTCACCCGTGCCCCCCTTCAGAGAAATAACTTAAAGCAAATATGCAAGAAAGTTCTGAAAGAAATCAACTTCTTTCTTGCCACTGGTGAGCAGTGACACTTTGTGGAGATACGACAAAAACAGTTGCTTTCCGTCTCTGACAACTGACATGATTGACAATAACAAGTCCATTTCGGTAAATCTAAACTTGATTTCATCACAATAGTTTATGTAAATTAGTATCAATGACAACAATTTCATATAGATAATCGTTAATATTTCTTTCCATCAGCGATAATTCTGATTATTGATCTTTATAGCCAGCCCTATTCATAGTATGAAATGGTCGATGGCTTGACGATACATCAAAAAGTGAAACTATACATTGAAAAATAACAAACAATATGGAACCTGAACTAAATTTAGCACTCAAAGAAAAACAAAAACACTTTAGTGTCAGTGCCGTCTGTGGTCAGAATATACTATGGTTGGGTACACATGTTTTTCCTAACTACACACAATAATCACACTGAGGCATATGTGAAACATGTTAAATCATGTCAAAAATGCTGTAAAGGTTAAGACATGAGAATTAATTAATTATCAGGTGACCCACTTCCAACCCAACCAACAGATATGTACAATGACAAGGCAACTATCTCCAACAATGTGCCTGATGTGACCTTATTTCTCATGCCATCTTATCAATTCATGACCCAAGGCCGAGCATAACTGAATGTGACACCCCACCTAGCAATGACGCGTTTAGTTAACAGATACAATCCCACTATCTACATAGGATTCCATACTAAGTGCCCTTGAAGAAAAATTGGGAAACACAATTGGTATAAGTCTTAAATTCAGCATGATGAGATATAAAACATTATGGTTTAATTAACATTGCATTTAACATATTTAACTGCAATAATGTAAAACTGAGCAATAACCATGACAACGTCTCTTCCACTTGTGGTCCTGACATCAGAGAAATACAAGTCACTAGGGCTGGGATGGGTAACTCGGGTGGGTACTGAGTAGGACGCAGGTACCCACAGGACTACCCGGATCCATGGTTAGTCACGTGATATATTGTTTAATGACAAAAAATTATCTAGAACTCTATGGTTACGCTAAAAGACAATAATGTTCACATTTCTTTCTGACTATGCACCAATTCCTTCAGATTTTTCATATGGTTGAATAAAGATATAACTTAATTTAACTTCGGTGTATGAATGACCAGATTGTTTAATAGTTGTATCTAAATACATTTTGCCAGGGCTATGCTAAAAATGTTCCCAATCGGACATTTTGAGACATCTCCTGAGACCTACAGTGGGTACCCAAGTAGGGTTGGGTAATAGGGGGATGGGTACCCGGGAAGTAAATTTTGTCTTGTCCCAGCCCTAAAAGTCACCATTTCAAAGCCAAGTACAAAGTTGTAAGCATATTTAACATGAATCAGGAATCAAACTGGTACAATGAATAGTATTGTGCATCCCTAAAAACTCAATATTATTTTTCTCTGCATGAATTCTTTACATTTGTGTGTACTGGAAGTACATTTCTGTGTTGCATAAAACCCTACGTATTAAGTGTCATGTTCCAATAAGCATCTTCTGGCCAACTTGCAAACCAATCTGTAAGTAATCTTTATATGTGCCAAAAATGTATACGATGGTCAGTATTTTCATGTGTAAATTTTCGACAAGCATTTGATGTTATTTACGGGGATTTATCCTGACCTGCCCTAAGTCTGATAACAGGTCAAATGTGTGTAAAAATTCCAAAATTTGAATTAAAATAATTGTCAAATAGTTATTATAGTAATAAGAAAACTTATTACTTTGCATAGGTGAATTGCAATAAACAAGAAGAGGCTTTAAACGTTGAATTTAATCCAAAAATACCCCTGAATTGAAGAAAATAAGGACTTATTAGAAAATTTCAATATGATCGAACTGTTTTTACTTTAACCCTTAGTTTGGGATCCTAGATAAGCCCTGATCTGCGTCTATTTATATGAGTGTAGGATATTTTGCAACCGGTAAAACCTGACTTAACCATGTCAACGACTGCCTCAAAGACAACCGGTAATAAAAACAACAACATTTGCCTACATTTTTGATGGCCTAATGATTAATGTAGGCAAATGGTAAGTTACAGATAATAATTCACCTATAGCCACAGTGGACAAATCCACATCCTCCAATCAGGTGAGAATTAGTCATCCATAAGTCTTCATGTTTCGGAATTCATTGAAGTTTTAGATCTACATATTGTGTCGTACAAAACAATCAAAAAATAAATTCCGAAAGTTGATCTTAAAAATATATATAATTTCATAAAAGTCTGACAGATTTCAAGTTGTCAGACACGATGGCGGAATTTGATACTTTCTGATTGGTCACCCATGTTGTTTGATTGACAGGTCTCAAAATGATAATTATATGCATCAATAAGATTTATGAAGTAACAGATTAACAAGTAAATCAAGTCAGACAATTGGTACACACATTATTCTTTCATAGACGGGCTCAAATTACTTTAGTAGCTGGTTAAAGCAGGGATGTATCTTGACCAACTCAGAGGCAGATATTTGGACACAAGTCAACAGCAGAAAATGTCATTAAAATGTCCCATATTGAAAGTACAAAGTTCCTAATTCATGGTATTGCTTTGTTGAAGTGACTTGTATTTCACAGACAGGATTATTTTCTATAAATTGCCTGCTAAAGATACTTAGTTTGGTATCCAGGATAAATACCTGTAAAGTCATGCACTGTATTTATCCGTATTGATCTAATGTTGCACAAATAGCCACACATTAATCAATCAAAGTCTGTGATGAAGACAATTAAGTCATTGCACATCACAAATTAGAGAAGCCCCAATAGCCTGTAGAGCCACAACTAAATTTCATAACATTAGTGATTACAGACAGCCCACTTATTTTGCCACTAGACACAGGCTTGCAGGCCAGCATTAATTTGTATCACTGATGCGATAATAAGCCTTCTTGTTTTCTCACCTGGATAAGCTCTGCTTTTGAGTCAAAGTCTGATACAATCACACACTTCTTGTCCGAAACTCTTGTGAGGGAGACGAAAAGACGACCTGACACAATCTCATGGGCATTGTCTGGCAGAACTTCCCACAATGCGTCCCGGAGAATTCTGTCAATGGCAAAGCTGGGGTGCAGTGGTCCTAATGAGCGTGATCTAGCCTTGGTTGCTAGTCGGAGAGTAAAACTTGTACATTCACCTGAAACCAAGCAATCATAATGAGAAATCACATTACATCTTGTATAATTTGGATTATCCAACTGATCCTAATTTAAAGTAAATACATTTACTTTCTTTGTCAAAATTAAGCACGAATGTCAAGGGATATCTGATGTTCAAGCCTAAAGATTTAGGGAGTCCTCAGATTCAAATACTATTGACACATGACTGAGGCAAATCTCATCGGTTTACCAGGACCCCCATGTAAACTGTTAACGGTACTATTTTATGTCAGTGAAATTACAATATTTCTGCAATTAAGAACAGATATTTTCAATCTCGTTAAAATCAGATCTAATTTCACGCTTTGTTTAGCGGTAGCGAGAACTAAGGTCTGATTTGAATGAGATTGAGATATTTTGTTCATCCTTTTTGTAATGTGGAATGTTATAATCAGTAAAATGAAAATAATTACATTGCTAACGTTGCCACAAAGTCGCCAATATTGGCCAAGGGTGCAGGCAATCTTTATTTTAGGATGATGGTTGGTTTGCTGTTTAACGCTGCGCACAGCTATATTTTAGGATGACCTGCCATTCAAATTTTAGAAGATCAAGAAAGTAGCAGTGGTTTTGCTGAAGACATTACGACATATACTTTATCAACATTAAATAGGATATTCGTATATGTCATTATGAACAAAAGTTAAACGATCTTTTGGACATTTTTGATGAGTAGGTCGATGTCTAGAAAATTAAGCCATGTGGAAGTGACTGTCACCCCCCACGATTCTCCCCGAATCTGTCATATCTAGCCCAGCTACCCACTGACACCTCCCAAACAATTTAAATACAACAGATGAGAATATGGTATTCATGTCACTTTAATTTTGAATTCCTCAAAACGTAAACATCATTTGTCTACACATGTGTAACGAGCTCAAGTCAGCGTCCTCGAGTGGCAAATCACCCCATTTTCAACCAATCAGAAATGAGGACTAGACAGCGCCCCATAACTAAAAATCTAAACTGCAATAAACATCACGACACCAACAATGAATATACAAGTTTGTGTTCAGACAATCACAAGAAACAAAGACAACAACACTACACTTTTCGGCTTCTCTGTCAAACCCAAACAACTCAAGCATGTAACAAACGGCGACACGAAGCAATTGTTTCAGGCGAATCGAGACGCAATGTCAAATGCGGTTTGTTGTTGGTTGGCTATTGTCAGGTGATATTTACAGTCTCGCGATGACGATGTCTCATGCGAAATATACACAAACACAAACTTACCTAAACATGCATCACAAAGAAAACAACAAGCAGTGATGGCCCCCGCACTAGCTCCTAACAGCTTCCCTTCATGGAGAAAATGTGGCGCGTGTTCTCTCAGACAGCTTGCTACACCAATGTGGTAAATACCAAGAAATCCACACCCGGAAAACGAAAAACTCATAATTCCGCGGGGACCTTTCTCCTCCGAAATATATCCAACAGTTGGTAGAAGTTTTCACTTAGATCATATATCCAAAAGACAAAGCTAGTGGCACAGCATTTGTGTGAAGGGCCCTTCGAATACCTCCAGTGGCGATTGTTTTGAATGCCTTGAGCAACGCAACATGTGACGTTGAAGATCTGGAAGGTCACGTGGACACACAGCCCGTACGGTTTCGAAGAATCTGATTGGTTGTTGCTATCTGCCGAGTGAGTGCGAGCTCTGTGATTGGTCAGTAATTAAAGACAGTAAATTGTGTTTTTATGTAACGTATGAATGAACATTTTACCTCATGAAGTATTTATTAAAAGATATTTTAATGGGAATTCATGATATACAGAAAATGCCGACTATACATGCAGGTGTTATGGGTTTTCGGACGCTTAAGAAACATTCGTAATTTTCTCGTTAATCACAAGAACAACTGTAAAACATCTCACTCACTTATGAAAGACGACTTTATCTTAAAAACAGGTCATTATCAGAGAATTTACAATGTATGTGTGACGCTACACACCTTGTTATAGCGCGAGTAATCACGATAAACATGGTCGTCCGAAAACGGATGATCAAAGGCCATAAAATGGATCAATTTTATGGTCTCGGGTATGATGTCAGAAAATCTATGACACGACGATCTATTCAATGAATTACTTTGTCAAAGAATAAATGATTACCTGAAAATAATGCGCCATCTCACTTTTAGTTCAACGTGATAAACCTATGTTGAGAGAAAGAGCTAGACAGACAGACGGAGAGAGAGAGAGAGAATGAGAGTCAGAGACTCGAAAGGGGCGGACAGGTAGAGGCAGGCGTAGAGAGCGGAATTATCTGCACACTAAACAGCTGCCCAAAGACCAAACACCCACCACGAGACACGATGTGAGGAATCCTTCATCAGTCGAACACAACAAACATGACACAATCATACAAAATAAAAGCTGGGTTCGTTGGTCAAGCATCTTCGTTACGTCAGGGCCACTGACCCCGTCAATGTTATCTAACTCCCATTGGAAGTGACCATGTGGAATTCCAGCACGACCGGCACAAAGCATCTCAAAAATAGATACTGGAAAAGGATCATTTTACCTTCTATAACCTCTTTTTCCTCCTCAGTTGCCATCAGCCCCGGGGGGAGGTTAATTAGAAAGATCTCTCCCAACCCCATGGCGATTCTAGTTTCGACAATTGCTTTGACCACATTTATATTTGGCCATGCCCCATATAATATCTATTTATTAATTTACAACAATAACCGATCTATGCAGAAGGACCCGGATACAAAGTCCAAACCATGACATGACAGTATTTAGATATGGCAGTGCTATAAAATTCGCTTTTGAAAAACACCTATATATTACACCATACATAATATAGATCAGTCTTTCTGAAATAATTTGAGTAAATACCTTCACAAATATTACTCTCAAAATAGGAATTTCAGCCGTATACTTTCTTAATACCAACTGGAATCGGTTTTATGTGCTCGACGGTTCCTGATGTGTGACAATTTGGCGAATTCAACAGTTCGTTTGCAAATTCAGCCTTGCCAGATATGCACGTCTCACAAACATCATTGTGTGTGAATATATATATATATATATATATATATATGTGATATAGAACATAGTTCCATCATGTCATATATGTGTTGACAATAAATATGTTTTACGGAATAAATATTCATACACTTGAGCTACATAACCATGTATTCTGCAATTGTCATAATGTTATGCACTATTGCCAGTTTCTAATTATTATAGTCGCATAAGTATATGCATTTGTGTATGATGTATGACATAAATGTATGTATATGTGCGTGCGTGCGTGTGTGAGTTTATGCACTTAACTGTTATCAAAGTAAAAAACAATCTTGTTGGAAAAATATATTTAATTATTTTCGTTCTGGACTCCATGTGCACCTTAATGCCAAATATACAGAAAGGTGAAGCGCACAATTTCTTTTACTATCAAGAGTGCCTACATGCATGCATTGACCAAGCCAGGATAGCATTTGATGTAAACGTTGCTGTTAAACCAACCGTGACTATATTGGAATTGTCATGGTCTAACGGGCATGGGTCTCAATTTCTGACACCTTAGCTTCTCTCTTAACGAGCTGTCAGTCTCACTGAAGCTTCCGTGTTCAAAAACCCTTTGTGGAGATAACAACGACGAGCTAGAGGCATATTTAAGCTAATTAACATAATTACACAGAAGTCAGTTCAATGGAACAACAGACATGGTGTTTATGCGCCCTCTATGAAGTGTAATTAAAACAGACACTTATTACTCAGTTACTGTAGTGAACGATACTCACTCCTCTGGCGCCGCTTAATCTATTTCGTGTATATTTCCCACTGTGTTGATAATTGATGGAATAGACACGAAACTCGACGGTCAAGGTAAGGCCAACATGATTGTTTATTCTGCAGATTATTCCCTGAAATTGACTTTGCCTAAAAAACGATACAGAGGACGAATACTATTTGATAAAACTATTATTAATATTTAGTATTCCGAACCTCATATGAATAATAATTGTTTAAGCTAATGGGTGAAGAACAAATAAATAGGTTAAATTGTTGCCTGAACATCCCTTGCCAGTGATATGTTTTCAAGGTGTCAATACAATTTACGTAGTCATTTATGTAAACAATATCGATGGTGTCACACCCGTGGCCCTGATTTTGTTTTATTCTTTGTTTGTGAAGGGACACGTATAAAAGAAAATATTATTTTAGAATAAAAGTAGGCAGACATGGTGTATCCATGTGTAACACCTTGTCAAATTTGGTTCTTGTAAAGAAAACGAGCAAGGATTAGTTTTAATGCACTGATGTGACATATCTTGCCCTTTGCAGAACAGATACCTTGTGTTACAAGGTACCTCCCTATTCCGACTGTTGTCTATCTGGGGATCAAATTGTTAAACTGGGATCGACCAACCTGAAAATAGCATCACATTTATTAGAGTTTGGTTCAAGGACTGAACATTGTATCGATCCTACGTCTGATTATAATACTCTCTGGTTTTATCTGATCCTGAGCTTTTCTTGTGTCACATTTTCTAGGCGACACTGTACAATGTGAAGAAAATAGCCCGTTTATGTCATTACTTAGAGTGTTGTCATGGTTGGTTCCTAGGTGTCTGAGCGATTGATGTCCACAATAAACTGTTTGTCCATCTTTTAGTTCTTTTTGGGGGTTAAAATTCATTAAGACTCAGAATAAACCAATTCTTTGGCTTAGATTTAACATTATTCAGTGTCTATGGTTTAATATATAAAAAGACTGTCAATCACATGTGGTGGACGTTAATATGTAACATATACAATATGTTGTTTTCTTTTTGAATATTATACGGTCGGTCCTTAAAACGAACTCCTCAATATACTAGAAATCCGTGTACAATGTACATGTACAAGATAACAACTAGTCTTCATAAGAGTCCTTTCAACACAATATAACACAATGCTATCTGGACCTGACTATTATATTCTACTGAATTATATTTGCGTATAATTATTATCTAACTCTACCTGCGTTTTTGTTGCGAGGGTAAGATATTTGAGCAAGAGTATATATAAGTATATATAATATCAACAAACTGGGTTTGTATATTGCGCTGTATCCCTATTAGGCAAGCTGGGTCACGTACACATATTTTTTTTTAATACTTTAAACAAAATATATACAAACGTATATAACGAACTGATTTCTCCCGTCTCTTGCAGTTCGTTATATCCATGTTCTAGTGTTGACATGCTACTGCACCCCGCCACACACACACACACACACACACACACACACCCCTCACACCTCTGGACCCGTCAATGATGTAACATGCAACAGTACACCGAGAAATGTGTGAAAACCGAGTTAACACATGGATGTCAACTTCTTTATACTCCACCCTGTATTCCGCGACAGCTTTTATAGAATGTTTGTATGTGTTTCAGAATAGCCATGAGATCGCAGACTTCTTATTGTAAGAAATGATAGTTTTAACAAATGTGTTTACATCGTGCTTGACCGACTTTCTCTGAGCTGGTTTTGGACTTGGGGCAGCCGGTCGCCTCCAGCTTGACCTACAACACGGATCGACTTAAATGCTAGCACTTGCAGTGCGCATCGGTACGTGTTCCCGCGTTGTGAGGAGCCAGCCGAGAGGGAAGCCAACAAAGACTTTTGCCGCCGCCAAAATCTTTATGTCATTATACAAAAGCGGATATTTCTGAAAAAGACCCTTGGTCCTGTGATTAGCAATCAACGAATATACTGCAATAAATTAAAAAAACTTTTTAACTGTGCTGGGGTTTTTTCGTGCCATTCCCGAAACTGTACGTATTTGTTTAAATAAATCTTCTTTTGTGTTCACATGGGGAATGTGTTTTGATGCATTTTTTTAATGACTGTGCATATTTAAGTATTTATTTGAATTCCCCTAAGGGAATGAACACAAAAGAAGAAAACTGTGTGTATTGATGAATTTGTTCAAATTACACTAATTTATGTACAGGCATGTACGCCTATCATGCGAATTGAGAAATGGCGTATATATTTACATATCTGAGGAAAAATTACTTGGGGCAAAGACATTTTAACCTAATGTATTTTGATATACTAGTATATATGTATATGTATATTTAGTATTGTTATAAGTACAAAATATGCATGTGATGGAATTAATAAAGTCTAGTTCTCATTCACATGAACAGATCTGATAACGTTCATAATAATTTCTACATGGTTGCTCATTTTGTAAATAATACAGGGCCTGTAACTCACCCTTTAACTCTTCCGTATTAAAAGAGCTTTTATCACCAGACTTGAATACAGATTTGCTTATCAGGTGGTTGTAAACAACCTTGCTACATACATACTTTCAACACGGTGACATGGTCGACATGACCGCCGAGTCTGAAGTCCTCGACATGACTCATGCATAGCAGCACCCCTTCCCCCACCTGCCTACCACATATGATTACGAGGTTTGTACTTTCCAACAATCAGATAAGAGGCTGCAAAAAATGCTGGTTGCGAATATACAGTGTAGTATAATGAGATCCTAAAGCATGGGTTTATCATTATATTTACATTTTTTCTATGTTGCAATGACATCAACTACAACAACCATTTCTTT